GAGTCGGGGTCGCGCGCGGGGATAGCGCGGGGGGGGGTCGGGTGTCGGGGGGGAAAAGGGGGGGGGGGGGGGGGGAAGATCGAAAGTCGGGGAGGGGAGGTTGCGTGGGAGCGGGATTGGAGTCGCGACGAAGAAGAAGAAGAAGGAGAAGAGGAAGAAGAGGAAGAAAATAGGAAGAAGAAACGAACGAAGAGAAAGAAGAAGAAGAAGAAAAGAGTAAAACATAAAAATAAAAAGAAGGAAAATTGTCGTCGATTACTTATCTGCGTGGAGGTAGCAACGACGATGACGAGGATGGCACGACGATGGCAACGTGGCACTACGACCACGATCGTGACGGTGACGATGATGAGGTGGCACAACGACGACGATCGCGATGATGATGATGTCGTGGTACGACCACGACCAACGCGACAATGATTCTGATGACGTGGCACAATGGCGATGGTCTCAATGATGACGATGATGGCGTGGCGATGACAATCACGATGGTGACGATGATGACGTGGCACGACGGCAACGATCGCGATGATGACGATGATGACGTGGCACGATGGCGACGACCACGATAATGACGTGGCACTACGACAACGATGATGCTGATGATGGTCAGGTGGTGACGACGAAGCAGGGTGGGTCGGGCGGGTTCGAACCGCTCCGATACCAGTGTGACGAGCACGAGGCTGAGGGAAACAGGGAGAGCCGAGGGAGAGGGGAGAGAGAGGGAGAGAGTGAGAGCACACACATACACTCACTCACTCGACAGGACTCAGGGTCGGACGCAGACACAGTGGCAAGGACACAAAGTCGAAGTCTTGGATTCGAAATGTCGAAAACAGGAGTAAGTCCCATTGAGTATGAGTACAGCAGCAGAAACTGGTACGAGACTGGTTCCCGTACCGTACGGGGAGCCGGTATAAGTACCGGTGACACGTACGGTACCAGGGGCATTTCTGCAAAGGCCCCGAGGGCAGAATTGAAAAATGCGGTATTTGAAAGTGGAGCCCGAATTGCAGCATGGCGCCAGTTGTCCAAAATCCTACGGTACCAAAGGAGGGGTTTGGAAAAATGGTGTTAGGCCAAAAACGGGTTGCAGTCGAAACAACAAAAAGATAGACCATGGATCGAGCCTTGGCAGAGTCCGTAACATCAACGACAAGGAGGAATTACGTTAGCATAATCTTTTCATCAGACTAAATCAATTATATTAAAAAATGTGTTGTATTTTCATAGTGGTGATTGTAGAAATGTTTGACTGAGATGGCAACTTTTATATGTATATATTGCTTTATTAAGGGCGTGTGCGACTTCACCTTGATAAGTTATATATATATATATATATATATGTATATTTATGTGAGTATTGTATGTATGGGACTAGGGTTGAGTTATAGTTTCCATACTTGATTGAGACCACCCTAGTCGACCGGTGTACGCTTCATCCTTAGGAGATCAACGCCTTCAACCACTAGTACCTCACTCAGCTATCGGCCGCGGGCACTCCTGTATACGCGATTCTGCCCTAGGGAGGTCAGCCAAGGGAAGGCCCGATCGCTGCGCGAAGGCCGGGCTCCGCTTCCCTAGGAATGACACACAGAGAGGAAGAAAAAAAAAAAAAAAGGAAAAAAAAAA